ACACACTGTGACCCATCCACAGCCTCAGCCAGCCTGGCTTGTTGTACAGTGTGGCCCTGGGAAGCAAACCCAGGACCTTCCCATGTGGTTCAGGGTTTTTGAATACTTCACCACCAAGTAACCCTTATACCTTTTTTTTTTTTTTGTATCTTGTGATTTTTCTGGATTATTACCTCAATTCTCATCCAGAATTCAGTTCCGTATAACATGTATTTGCTGATGATTTACTACATGTAAGGTATTGTGGGAGAGCCAGAGACAAAAAAGGGTATTTCTTATCTTACAGAGCTGATTGGTGGATGGTGTAATGGTTATATCACTGGACTCCCATGTAGTTGGCCACAGTTCGAGTCTTGGACCTGGTGGCTTCAAACTCACACCGGGTGCATGTGTATGTGTGCCCAAAATCCTGAGAGGAGAATGAAGGAGAAGGGACTGTGGCATGGGCATCTCCCCCGGGGGGCTGATTTCTCACTTTCTGTCTCTCTGGTGAGCACATGCACCCTATAGCAAAAATCTAGCAACAATGAAAATGATCTGCTCTGTGGAAGAAATGGACATATCACACCCCCAACTACTGACACTGCAGAGCAGAATGAGTGCTAGAGGTGGGAATGAACTGTTTGAAGAGAACCAGAGAGGGAGGGGTTAACTGATTAGGGGCTGGGACTGTGGCATGGCATGATGACATTTAAGCTAGGCCTTGAGGGATGACAGAGGAAGAGGACACAGGGTGAGGGAACTTCAGAGTCCTGCAACTGGTTGGTCTGTTTAGGGAAGGGTCAGGAGTGGGGGTAGCCAGGGTGACTGGGAAATGGCAGGCTGTGGTGGCAGAGGAGGCTGGAGGCTGTGAGTGTCCTGAAGGCTGTGTTAAGAAATGTGGGCTGGATTCGGAAGGCAAAGGAAAGCTATTGAAAGCTTTTGAGGAGGGAGAGGGTAACATGATCGAACTGGCGCTTGAGAAGATGAATTGATTGTAGAATCAAGAGATTGGAGGCAGAGGGAGCAGTTAAGAGGCTATTGTAATATTCCGATGAGCAGTGATGAGGGCCTGCACCAAGGCAGTGGCAAGAGGTATAGAGGGAGGGGATGGAGATGTAGTTAAGACTTCACTCCTGGGAGGAACCAGCAGTTAGCGTAATGGCTATGTCGCTGGACTTCCACGTAGTCGACTGCGGTTCGCGTCCCGGACCCAGTGGCTTAAAACTCATGCCGGGTGCATGTGCGTGCATGCCCAAGATCCCGAGAGGAGAATGGAGGAGAAGGGATTGCAGTGTGACCATCCCCCCTGGGGGGTGATTTCTTGCTTTCTGTCTCTAATGTCTCTGTCTGTCTGGCGAGTGCACGCACCCTATAGTGAAAATCTCTCAAAAAAAAAAAAAAAAAAAGACTTCACTCCTGGGGACCAGCAGTTAGCATAATGGCTATGTCGCTGGACTCCCATGTAGTCGACCGCAGTTTGCGTCCCAGACCCGGTGGCTTAAACTCACGCTGGGCACATGTGCGTACGTGCCCAAGATCCTGAGAGGAGAATGGAGCAGAAGGGATTGTGGTGTGGCCATCCCCCCTGGAGGGTGATTTCTCACTTTCTGTCTCTCTGTCTCTCTCTGTCTGTCTGGCGAGCGCACGCACACTATAGCAAAAACCTCTCTCAAAAAAAAAAAAAAAAAACACTTCACTCCTGATTGGATATGGTGGCCGGAGAGAGGAGTTGAAGATGACCATGCTGAAATTTCCAGGCCAGAGACAGTGGTGCTATTAATTAATATAGGCAACATACGACATGGTGGGTGTGTGAGTGTGGGGAAGAGCAGGTTTAGGGGACCCAGTAATGAGTATGGTTTGTGACACGTTGAGTTCCAGGGGCTCCGTGGACATCCAATTAGCAGTGACTGCTGGTAGCTGGAAATTCTGGCCTGGGCCTAAGGAGAGAGGTCAGGGCTAGATACAGTTTTGGGAGTTACCAGCACACCCAGGGGTGAGCTGAAATTGTGGGCACTCCTGAACTGAGAGAGAAGGAGGGGCAGGGCTCACACACACACTGAGGGAGAGAGGAAGGGATGGGGGAGAGCCAGAGGGAAGCCAGATGGAGGAGGAAAAGAGACAGATAAGACAGGGAGACTAAAGGCAGAGGCAGGACCAAGAGTAGAAGGGATGAGGAGGCAGCAGGGTGGGGAGAAAGGGAAGCGAGAGGAACGACTGAAGGGTAAACTGAGGGAAATGGGGGAGGAGAGATCAAGCCAGAGAGAAGACTGGAAGAGAGAGGTGAGGGGAGGAAGTTGGAGGAGAAGGGATTGCAGGAGCAGGAGAGGGGAAAAGAGACAGCCAGGACAATAATGGGGCCAGGAGAACAGGATGCCAAGGCAGGAGAACAGAGTGAGGTGGGAGATTGAGAAGGAAAGGGGAACGGAAAGAGAGGGGCAGGGCAGGTAGGGGTAGGAAGAGAAAGAAGGAAGGAGCCTTGGAAAATAGGAAGGGAAAGAAATGGGAGAGGGTGGCAAAGGTGACAAGAGAGAGAGCAAGAGAGGGTGAAACCCTTGTGAACCCCCAGGTTTTTGGGACGGGCCACAGAGAAGGTCCCAGAGTAGCCAACAGGTACTGGGTTAGGAAAGCCAGGAAAGGGTGCACGGTAAAGAAGATGGTCCATAGGGCCAGCCAGGTGGCTTGGTGCTTAAGGTGACTGGATCCCACATGGCTGACTGTGTGGTTCGAGTCCTGGTCCCAGCAGCTTGAAAAACACACAGGCACGTGTGTGTTTGTTCCCAAAACCCCAAGAGGAGAATGAAGAAAGGATTGCAGATGGCTATTTCCCCTGGGACATGATTTTTCACTTTCTCTCTGTTTCTGGTGAGCACACACACTCTACAGCAATTTTTTTTTTTAACAGAAAGATTTTTGGTATAGGGCACATGTGCTTGTTGGAAAGACAGAGAGACAGAAAGCGAAAAATCCGCCCTCCCACCCTGCCACTGGGGGAATGGCCACGCCACAGTCCCTTCTCCTCCATTCTCCTCTCAGGATCTTGGGCACGCACGCACATGCGCCCAGCATGAATTTTAAGCCACCAGGGCTGAGACTCAAACTCTCTGTGAGAGTCCAGTGATGTAACCATTATGCCATCTGCTGGTCCCATACCCTATATCGGATTTTAAGAAAAAGGGACCAGGGCAACAGTATCCCACTCTGCAGAGATAGGGAGTAGATCGAGGCCCAAGAAGACAGTAGGTGGATATATCCCCGCTCTCCTTTCTTAACATCTTTCCCTTTCCTCACATCCTTTCCTCTCTCATTTCCTCCTTCAAGCCAGCCCACTGGCTTCCTGGCTCTTCTTTGATTTGGGGCAGTCTCCTGCCTCAGGACCTTTGTATGTACTCTCCCCTCTGTTTAGAATGCTCTCTGCAAATATGTACATGGCTTGCCCCTTCATCTCCTTCAGATTGTTTAAACATTTCCTTCTCAGCAAGGCCTGTTTCAAATTTAGCTCATTCCCCCCACACTCTAAATGGCCCCTTCCCCCTTAGTTTGTGTTGTGCTAACATGTCTGTGTTCTAACATGCTTTGATAGAATTATTTAACGTGTTTATTGCCCATCTTACCCCACTGTAATGTAAGTTCCATGCAGGCAGGGATTTGGGTCTGTTTTGTTCATTGCTTAAATCCTCAGGACCTAGGACAGTGCTGGTACTGAGTAGGAGCTCGGTAAATATTTGTCAAATGAATAAGTGATACTGTATTGAAGATAGACAACTTCTAAAAATCGAGAAAGGGATAAATGAAACAACCCCCTGATGTGACGGTATTTTCCTGTGATTTACTTCCTTGGAAAGTAGAGAGCAGCATACAGTTCTGATCACTGTAGGGATCTGTTCAGTTGAGATTTGATGAATAAGGATTTTAGCAAATAAAACAACTCAACTGGTTAAGGGTCTCAAGACAAGCTCATTGGATAAAGTTCTTTTTTTGAACGCCACTTTCTCTAGACGTTGAGTTGACTGCACAGTGGTTGTCTGCAGTGAGAGCTGGACATTGGCTGGTGAAGCGGGGGTAGGTCATGGGAATGACAGACTCATAGGAAGACACAAGGACAGAAAGAGGTGGTTCTCTTTTTCAAAGTTTGTTTATCCATTTCTTCCATGACTAGAAGAGACAGGCACACAGACAGACAGACAAGACAGAGATAGCACCCTCATCAGCTGATGCCTTGATCCACCCCTAGCTTCACTCAGTCCTAGATCACAGGTGCACACATGCCCAGTGTACTCATAGAGGTCTTCAGATGTGACCCCATGTTGCTCAGCCTTGTGGAGCACCCTGTTTTACCCCTGCGCCACCCTCCGACCCCAATGTGTGGTTCTTGCTGGAATATTGCTTTTTGTTTGCTTGCTTGTTTGTGGACAGAGTACAAGAAATATCACATCCGACTTGGAGGAACCCTTAAACCAGGTTAGATATATGCATTGTGTACAAGTTCAAGTCAGAGTAGAGTATTTCTGAAGGGCTCATAAAGAAAGCACGTGCTTCCTCTGGAGAGCTTAAATGGGCTACGTCACTCACATACTTCAGTACCCACGGATTAGAGGGTAGACGAGCAAAAGAGCCCCAGTGGTCTTTCGGTGCACTGTTCATATATAGGTACGACCCTCTAATTGTAGTTGGTTAGGCTAAATGTGTGTGAAAAAATATACTGTCATCTCATGTGTCTGAAATAGATTGAATTTCCTCGAACACCCAAGGATATCTGTCTTTTAAGTAGTTTAAAAATCACTCTAGGTGATTAACGCCGTCCTCCTCTCTCTCCTGAACCCTGGATTCCTGGAAAGCTGGTGCTCTCTCTTCCCTGTTTGGACCTTCATTTTCCATGGCAGCCTGGCTTGTGAGAGAGACTGCTTTAACATTCGATGCTATAATTACCTTTATGTAAACGTTTCTGTGTAAAAGGTGGTTAAGGCAGCTGTCCCTATTATGCGTTTTCATTTTCGGGATTCTTTTTCCCCAGGGGGAGTGGCCACAGCAAGTCCTATCCGGTGGTGAGTGGCTGTCATGATCTCTACAGCACCGCTCTACAGCGGCGTGCACAACTGGACCAGTTCTGACCGGATTCGCATGTGCGGCATCAACGAGGAGAGGTGAGGAGGCTGGGAAGGTGGCTGTGGCTGGCCGGCCTCCAGTGACTGGTACCTGGTCACTAGCAGGGTAGCCAGGCACACTAGGGCGTGGGGAAGGACCCTGGAGAGGAGGCTTTTGGTGGTTTTTGATTTTCCTGTGACGGGTTGGGGCTGGGACTGTGTGGGTGGCCTGCTCTGCCTTGTCCCTGTTCAGATGAAGGCAAGGGGCCAGCAGATGACCTTTTGCCAGCTAGTATTTGCTCATTAAGAACCATCAGATTGTGCATAAGGGGAAGCTTAGGTGAATGCAATTTTTACTTGCTACATTAAGGTTTGATGCTCAAAGATACGTGTAAGATCTTTTTGGTCCTTGATCTAGGTCTTGAAGAAGTGCCGTTTTATCGTTCAGCTTCATACTGGGAATGGTACTGGGCATTTGGGTGGTCAGTGTTTTCCTGCCTTGCGTGATGAATGACAATTCACAGTGACATCCTTATGAAGTATCAAAGGGCGATGAGACTGCCTAATGTAGTATTAATCCCAAATCAAGAGTTGGTGATGCCTGCCTGATCTGTGTGTGTTTTCAGTTTTGTTTTGTTTCTTTTTTCTTTTCTTTTTTTTTTCTTTTCATAGGGTGTGTGCACTCCCCAAGAGAGAGAGAGAGAGACAGAAAGAGGGAAAGTGAGAAATCATCTCCCAGGGGAGGATGGTCATGGCACAATTCTTTAGCCTCAGTTCTCTTCGTGGGATTTTGGGCCCACATGTATGCACACCTGGTGTGATTTTCAAGCTGCTGGGTCCAGGACTCGAGCTGCAATTGGCCATGTGTGATCCAGCTCCTTTACCACCACACCACTTGCTGGCCCCATTTTTTTTTTAATAAGGTCTTACTATGTGGCCCAGGCTGACCACAAACTCGCCATCCTCTTGCCTCAGCCTCCTGAGTAGATGGGACTACAGGTATATGTCACCACACCCTGCTTGCTTTCAGTTTTCACTGGAGTATTTGGTTAACCAAGATGTGTCATTTCTCGATCATGCTCCATACCAAGGGTACTCAACATGGCCTTCAGATTTTACATTTGACTTTCGTAACCCTTGGTCAAAGAGCTGTGTGTGTGGCTGCAATGCCTTTCCTGTTTTAGGTCTGGCTCCCTGACACTTGCTAGTTTTTGCTGTTGTTTCAATCCATTGACTGAGTTTGGATACATCAGTTAAATCACCTAGAACACAGCACAATATGGCTTTTCATGGGATTCAAGATTTGGCATTTCTTAGGTCCATCTTAGAAGTATGCACATTTCTGTGTGTGCAGTGAGAGAGTATTTGTCATTTTGAAGGGAAAAGGAATAGATGTCTTTGCTACTTTATTTTTTAACGTTTATTTATTTCATGAGAGAGAGTGTGTATGTGTGCACACACATACTCAGACACCTTGACAGGAATGCTATCTTCACTGTTTAATTTTTAAATTTTATTTATTTATTTTTTTAAGAATGACTTTTGTTATAGGGCACTTGCACACATCAGCGAGACAGGGAGATAGAAAGTGAGAAATCCCTCCCCCACAGAGAGGATGGCCACATTGCAGTCCCTTCTCCTCTGTTCTTCTCTTGGGATCTTGGGCACACACACACACATGTACATGCACCTGGCATGAGTTTAAAGTCACTGGGTGCAGGACTCGAACTGTGGTTAACTACATGGAAGTCCAGTGACATAACCATTAAGCCATCTGCTGGTCCCCCCGCCCCTGTTTTTTGAGAGAGATTTTTTGCAATCAGGCGTATTTGCTCACCAGGGAGACAGAGAGAAAGAGACAGAAAGTGAGAAATCACCCCCCAGAGGGATGGCCATGCTGCAATCCTTTCTCCTCCATTCTCCTCTTGGGATCTTGGGCATGCACGCATATGTGCCCAGCATGAGTTTAAGCCACTGGGTCCGGAACTCGAACCACGGTCGACTGCATGGGAATCTAGTGACATAACCATTATGCCATCGGCTGGTCCCTATTTTCTTTCTTTCATGAGAAAGAGGAACACACACACACACACACAGTCATCCCTGACAAGGTGTGTCATAGTATAATCCCATTTTCTCAGCCCTCTAGCTAGTCAGGATCTTGGGCGCATGCCTGGCATGTGTCAGGCTCATTCGGAATCCAAACCTGCTCTCCACCATGTGGCTTCCAGCACTACAGATCAGTATGCTGCCACTTGCACCACCAAGGCAGGGCCCATTTATCTCCTTTCTCCTGTTTCCGACTGGAGAGTGTATACTTGTCTGTGGTTAAGGTTAGGAGGATGGACCTTTATATTTTCTTAAGCCATTAGCACCTGATAGCTTAGTGTACTCTGGACTGAAGAACAAGTTAGAGATGGACTTAAAAGGAATTTACTTTAAAGACCAGGGAAAATAAGATAAAATTCTGCTTAGGTGCTGTGGAAGAAAGGCATTTTTCTTTGCGCATGTGCTATGTCCTTAGATAATTACCAAGAGGTGATCTAAGGGAAGACAGGTTGGTTCTGTTGATTTGTGTAAGAATTCATTGTCAGGTCATGTTGCTCTGATTCTAAGTAATTGAGTTATGCAGATATTTGGACTAGAACTTTCAAAAAACCAGCAGAAAAGTTACCTTGGTTCACCCTCCGCTCTAAGCTCCTGCTGAGAAAGGAGTAGGAAGTGGGCTCAAAATCTGAATTTCCCTCTTTATGGACTTTTCTTGGGATCCTAAATTACCAAATATGCCTAGTGGTTAAGATGACCTTTTAAGCATCGTCACTTCTGATCTCATCCACCCTTTATTGTTGCCTTCCTGCCACAGTCTAGGCCATGCTGTAGCTGATTTCCAAAATGCGACCTCACCTTATTTAAACACTGTCATCCTCAGCCCTTTGCAACTTGTAGAACTTAGAAAGTTGGGATATAGAGCTGTACCTGGAGGGTTAACTCTTTTTTTTTGGAGAGATTTTTTTTTTGCTATAGGGCGTGTGCACTCGCCAGACAGACAGAGAGAGACAGAGAGACAGAAAGTGAGAAATCACCGCCGCAATCCCTTCTCCTCCATTCTCCTCTCGGGATCTTCGGCACGCACACACACGTGCCCGGCGTGAGTTTTAAGCCACCGGGTCCCGGATGCGAACCGTGGTCAACTACGTGGGAATCCAGTGACATAGCCATTATGCTAACTGCTGGTTCCCCAAGGGTTAACTCTTAAGTTATGTTTTACTTAGATAGGTATCTGCTTATTATTTTAAGAAAAATATTCTTTTCCTTCTCATTTTTTATTTTAATTTGCTAGAGGCCGTGCGCACTCAGAAGGAGAGAGAAAGAGAAAGCACCCCCATAGACATGATCATGCTACGATCCCTCCTTCATCTCACCCTCCGTTTGGGATTCTGGGTACACTGGCACATGTGCCTAGCACGTTTTTTTGAGCAACTGGATTGAGGACTTGAACCCCACAGTCGGCCCTGTGGGATCCAGTTCCCCTAACCACCAGGCCACAAATGGCCCTTTTTGCTCCTTATTTAATTGCTAGAAGGCTTGTGCACTTCCCAGAGAAAGAGAAAAAGTACTCCCTATGGGGCGTGGTCATGCTGCAGTCCCATCTCCGCTGTTTCTCTACCTTGTCAGAACCCTTTGTATACATGCACACGTGCCCATAATGTTTTCAAACTGCCAGGGCTGGGATATGAACCACAGTTGTCCATGTGGAACTTGGCTCCCATGCACCATGTTTAACCACTGTGCCTCAGGGTCAGTCCTGAGTATTTATTTTGTTTTATTTATTTATTTTTTTAGAGTTTTTTTTTTTTTTATATAGGGCATGTGCATTCACTGGAGAGACAGAGAGACAGAAAGGGAGAAATCATTCCCTGGGGGGATGGCCACACAGCAATCCCTTCTCCTCCATTCTCCTCTTGGGATCTTTTTGGACATGCATGTACACTCGCCTGGCATGAGTTTTAAGCTGCTGGGTCCAGGACTAGAACCACAGTTGACTCTGTAGGAGTCCAGTGACATAACCATTACGCGGTTCACTGGTCCCAATATTTTTTTTAAGTTTCTTTCTTTCTTTGTTCCATGAGGGAGAAGGGCAAGAGAAACAGAGAGACAGACTCCTACAGGGTTCTCATGCTGCAGTCTACCCCCAGCTTCAGCCCCAGATCATGGGTATGCATGCACTGATGTGTCCAGGGAGGTCGCTGGATGCAGATCCAGAACCTTCCCACGTAGGTCAACTTTGCAGAGCACCGCATTACCACCATGCTACCATCTGGCCCCTTAAAGTTATATTTTAGAATCCTGCCCAGTTTTATCAGTTGCAGCTGAAGACCACAGAACAGGGAACCTGGGCTTTCTGCTGGTCCCAGATGGCCAACTCTAGTCAAACCTGCAGCCATGTCTGCCTGTCTGCTTGCTTGCTTTCTTCCTTTCTAGCATTAATTCATTACTTCACTCAACAAATATTTATCAAACACAAGGGATAGTCATGACACATTGGTGATAGGTGTTGTTGTGTGGCACATACCAGTCTTGTGGAGGTCTAGAGGCAAGAATGACAAACTTGGGACTAGCAGTTGGCATAATGGCTATGTTGCTGGAATCCCATGTAGTCGACCACAGTTCGAGTCCCGAACCTGGTGGCTTAAACACATGCCGGGTGCATGTGCGTGCATGCCCAAGATCCCGAGAGGAGAATGGAGGAGAAGGGATTGCAGCGTGGCCATCCCCCCTGGGGAGTGATTTCTTGCTTTCTGTCTCTCTGTCTCTCTCTGTCTGTCTGGCGAGTGCACATGCCCTATAGTAAAATCCTCCCCCCCCAAAAAAAAATTAAAAAAAAGAATGACGAACTTTCTGGGGGAATAAGAGAAGGTGGTGCCATTCAAGCCTGGTTGTGAGGGATGAGCAGGGTTTGACATGAGGATTGGTGTTTTCCTGGGACAAGAGAACACTGTATGTTTGGAGAGGGCTCTGGCTGGAATGAAGGCAGTCTTGGGGTTGCTGGGCCTCAATGCTCGGCAAACCTGAGGGGGCTGGAAGGTCAGGAGCCTGGAGTTCACTAGGTTGTGTATTTCTCTTACGAGTAGTCTGGGCCCAGCAGGAACGGGAAAAGACCCTGAGAGTGCGTAGCTATTTCTGGTTTAAGTTCAGCAAGACCTTGAACTTAGCGACCCAGGGTCTCTTGCGGGATTGAGTTCTAGTCCTGATTACAGCCTGCTTTGACCCTTGCTCCTGTCTTCCCCTATCTACTTTGTCCTAACCTTGCTTGGGCGACTGACCCATTTCCCCTGCCCCATCCGGGGCCCTTCTCTGTACTTGAGGGTGTTTTGTTTTGTTTTGTGTTTTTTATTGCCAGAGGGCATGTGCACTTACCAGAGAGAGAGACGAAGAGAAAAAGAAAGGACTCTCCTCAGTGAGCCCAGGCTATGCACAATCCTTTTCCTTTCATTTCTCCATGTTGTCAGGACTTTGGGGCACAGGCACCTGCGTGTTCTTCTAGCTGTCAGGGCTAGGATCTGAACCACAGTTGGCCATGCGGGATCAGACTTCCTATGCACAGTTCTTACCCACTGCACTATGGGGCCTGACAGTTTCTCAGAGACTTCAGGCCTAACACTCAAGTGTGGGCATGGCTGGAGTGGCCAGAACCACTGCTCC